AAAAAAAAAAAAAGAGAAGCTGTTCTTCAGCTTCTGGCATAGGGCCTGGTCTGGCATCTAGCAGGTAGTAGAAGGGAGGAAAGGACGGACATCAAGACCAGCTGAGGATCCATTCCAGCACATTCTGCCCACTTCACATCTCTGCCAGTACCAGATCCTCCCAGAACCAGGGCAACTCCCCTTTTCTCAAAGGGCTGCTCCTGCGAGCCTCCCAGCTTGCCCTAGCCGCCCCCCCACACACACCTGGAGGAAGGTCTGCTCCAGCCTGATGGTGTTACTGAGACCAGCCTGAGCAGCCAACAGCCTGGTGCCCATGCGGAAGTGATGCTCCTCCGCCGCCAGGACAAAGGTGCTCCCGGCCTCCCCCTCGGAGCTCTGTAGCTGGGTCTGCAGGAAAGCAAGGGAGAGAGCTCATCAGTTGGGGGTGGAACGCTGAGGCATATGCTGGCTCCAGGCGTAGGCTCTGCCTCCCAGAGCCCCAGGCTCAAGAGACCTGCAGTTTTCTGGACTGGAGGAACTGATGAAATGCGCCACCAGGTGTGGCCATGACAGCAGTCTCCTCACGCCCTTCATGCTGTAACACTGACTTGAAGATAGCTACCCGCCCGGGGACCAGCAGGTAAGACTTCTAGCTGCATTACCGTTGTAGTCAGCAGGGGCCAGTCTAGCGCAGAGGACGATGTGGAGGACGTGGGCACCAAACAGACCAGGCCTCCGATTCTGGCTCCAGAATTAACCACCTGAGCCTCCAATTTCTAACCTGACAAATTGGGATCCTAGCACCTACTTTATTAAGGTGTTGATGGAAGATTGTATGAAATAATGGGCTAACTTCCAGGCTGGCTGAACTACAGAACCACTTAGAGGATTTGCTAAAAATACAGATTCTGGGCCCCCACTTGTGGTCTGTACAAACAGAACCTCTGGGACCAGGGTTGAGATCTGGCAATTTTAAAGAGTTCCCCAGAAGCATCATTACCTTAGTGGTGTCCCGTCCAAAGTCTTCAACCCACATGTCAATCTAATAAATCCACATGGAGGACTTTTGCAGAGTAACTGCCTGGACACTTCAAAACTGTCAATGCAGGAATTCTTCCTTCACATGGTTAATGGCAACGAAATGTTTCAGGGGAGGTATTCATATCTGCAGCTTTGAAATGCATCAAAATGAAAATGGATGGAGGGCTACCTGATAAAGCACATGAGAAAATGTAGGTGTTGGGTGTGCGGGTGTTCACTACAAAATTGTTAAAGTTTTCCAGTGTCTGAAATGTTTAATAATAAAATACTGAGGAATTAAAAAGGTAGTGGGGTGGGAGAAGAATTCCTAGATTGGAGGTCAGCCCATCACCTGATTTTTATAAATAAAGTTTCATTGTAACAGCCATGCCCATTTATATATTGTCTGTGCTGCTTTTCTGTTACAATGGCAGAGTTGAGTAATTGCAACAGAGATCATATCAGGTGCAAAGGTTAAAATATTTACTACCTGGCTCTTTACTGTAAAGTTGGCAGACTCTATTCTAAATTAAGAAACTGAAGAGACAGGGCAACTAAGGATCCTGGGTGATCCTGGAAGGCATCCTGCATTTAAAACAAACATACAAAACATCCTGGAAGAACATTATTGAGACAACTGGGAAATCTCACTAAGGACTATGTATTAGATAAAAGCATTATGTCACATATTAAATTTCCTGAATTTTGTACTTACATTGTGTTATTAAAGAAAACATCCTTGCTGTAGGAAACACTCGCTGAAGTATTTAGGAGTCAAGGGGTATGACGTGTCCAGGAACATCTGTATATCAACTCTTAATGATACAAAAACAATGTATGTGTGAATATATAAACATATGCCACATATATAAGTATACATAGAAAGATGGGACAAGAGATTACCACCTGGTCCACTGGCCTGTAATAAATTTTCTCTGAATCAGAAAGTACTCAAAATAAAGACTGGGGGGAAAGAAGAGGTTCCCTGAATATCACGCAGCTGCTGCAAAGTTTGGGAAGCATGTGTATTAATGTGCTGGGACAGGGCTTGGCACACAGTAGGCGCTCTGTAAACAAAGTTACCTGGGCCTGGGGAAGAGAAAGCATTTACAAAACTGGTGGCTGGCGGGATGATAAGTGACTGGTTGGCAGGAGCAATCAATCACTCACTCGTGTTTAATCTTGCATGCATTCATACATTCATTCACTCAGCATGTTTCACTGAGCACCTGCTATGTGCCAGGTGCCGGGCATGCCCTCCATAAGCTCCAGACTTGGGGTTAGAGGGGCAGATGGAAATGGACAATAGCAATACAGAGGGTGGGGAAGGCTGGCCTGGGTCTCAGGGGCCCTCCAGTTTTCCCCCAGGACCCCCAGATGCCACAGCAGGGCAGATGCATGACCAAGGGACCTCCTGAGGGTTCCAGAAGCCAGGTGGGAACAGCACTTACGTACAAGGTCAGGAAGACACGCAGAGCGCCTGGGCTGTGGGAAGGCAGAGGGGACACCTGGGAGGTGGTGCGGGCTCAGCTTGAAGAGCCATGTCATCTGATCCAGCTGTCGGGAGCATGCCAGGCTGGGTGAGGCCATGCCAGGCACCAGGCCCTGGGCAGGCAGGCCTCCCCTGGCTCCCGAGGGTCTTGTGGGCCCAGCTGGGGGCTTCAGGGGCTGGCAAGGAATGTAAACCTGGGCATGTTTGAGAAAGCTGGAGCCAGGGGTTTCCAAGGGCAGCCCACCAGGCCGGCTACAGGCCCACAGACAGACGCTGTGTGTTACACTTCCCAGGGGGCCGGCTTGCACAGCCCCCTCCCACCTGGGGCTGTGAATCTGGACCCAGTTAGGAGCTCAGGGGTGGTGGGCACCATTACCTTTGCTGAGGCTGAGGCTCTGCGGGGGCAGCAGCCCAGGAGGGCAGGGCGATGCTGACTTGAGAGACGCAGCTCTTTGCTGGAAGGAAGGGGAGAGCCTGCCTGAGGCCTGGCACCAGGGCACCCTGTCCAGGGCCCCAGGACCGGGTCAGGGCCGAGCCAACCCCCTTGACAGAGCCCTCAAACACATTTGCAGCCCAGTGAAGGGCCATTCACAGGCCTCAAGGCCTGTGCCATGTACAGGGCAGGGCTGCAGCCTGGCACCAGGTGACTTTCATCTGACTCCCTGCTCGGCCTCTGCCTGGTTCTGGCATATTGGGCAAGAGTCTCAGTTTCCCCTCAGTGTAAAGGGCCGCAGTGGGACTGGGCTGCATGTCTTCTGAGAGCCCATCAGTGGGCCCCTCAGGTTTGGCCAATGGGAGCTTCAGCAGGGTCTGGACAGTGGGACTTTAAACCTGGGCTCCCGCCTGGCAGCCCTGCCTATACAGTGCCCCTCAAGCCGGGGTGCTCACGCCTCCCCGTGGCTGCTGGCCCCAAGGGCCTGCCCTGTCCTTGTGGCTTTTCTTCACCAGGGGGCCTCAGCCTCAGCACAACTGATGTCCTGGGCCACGGCTCTCACTGTCGTGGGGCTGCTCTGCACGTCACAGGAAGCTCAGCAGCGTATCTGGCCTCTGTCCACTAGAAGCTGGTAACACCCCCGTTGCCAGCTATGAGAAGCAGAAATCTCCCCAGACATGGCCACCATGGCCCTGGGTGGGCAAACCCTAGATAAGAACCACTGGCCCACGCCATAAACAGGTGGTCTTCTCATCTCTCTGGTACCAGTGCTGGAGCCTGATGCCCCCCACCAACTCCATGTACCCCCCCACCAAGCACTGTGTCAGGCACCCAGTAGGTCCCCAGACTGAAGAGTTGAAATAGTCAGTATATGTATGTGAGGCCTGGGTGCACTTAGTTTGTGAGACCAAGAACTCCTCATCCATGTCCTTCCCCCAGAGGTCAGGCTGTCTGACCTTGGACAAGTCACTTTGCCTCTCTGAGCCTCCCTTTCCACATGTTCAGTGGTGCTGTGGGAAGGATTCAAGGAGGCACTGGGGGGTCAGAGGTGGGCACACACTAGGTGCTCGGCTGATATCTCCCTCACCCATTCCTCTGCTCTGGGGACCCCCCAGAACCGCAGAGAACCCCTCACCTGACCACCCGGCTCTGGCCATGCACATCGAGGAGCAGGCTGGCTTGAGAATCACAGGTCAGCCGCAGGGAAGAACTCATCTCTTCCTTTGCCCAGAGCTGCCGGAACAGGAGCTGAGAAGGGAGCAGGCGTGAGGCACGGGTGGTATAAGGGCCTGAGGGCCCTCAGGGGCCAGGCTGCACTCTGCAGCCCATCCTGTCCCTTTCCCCCAGCCCAGCAGGCCCGGCCCTGACACCCTCTTGGATGGCGAGGACCACAGGCAGGGCCAATCCGCTCTCCTGCCGCAGCCAGGCTGCCACCCTCCCATCCCAATGCAGGCCCCAAACCCCAGACATCAGCAGAGAATGAGCTCCACCACTCGTCCTGAGGCTGGGGAAGGGGGCTCAGATGAAGGGGGGAGAGGGATAGCCTGCCCTCCAGCTATCCAGGGGCTGCCCCCTCCCAGGGCCCAGTGGGGTGGGAGGCAGGGCTGTTGCTGGGTAATTCAAAACACAGGTCAGGAAAGCTCGATGCCAGGCTCCAGTACACAGGCCTTAGCAGGAGGGATCAGCCAGGCCAGGCAGGCTCACACCAAGTGCCAGTGGCCCGGGCACAGCCCTGTTCAGGGGGCCACAGCGATTCCCCTTCTCTGAGGTGGGAGGGCATTGTGGGAGAGGCGCGGGTGCCAACCAGGGTCCCTATTTTGCTGCCTAAATGCTGTGTGACCTTGGGCGGGTCACCTAAAGTCTCGTGTGACCCGGAGATGACGGTGACAATGATGGCATTGTCACCGTGACCACCACAGCAGCCAAAGCTTCCAAAGGGTCTGCTCCTCAGGCACCGACCTGGGTATGTGACTAGCATGAATGCATCTGACCCTCACACATCCACATTATCAGTACAATTAGTGTCTCCATTTCAGAGAAGAGGAGCCTGAGGACACAGAGAGACTCAGGAAGTAGCCCAAGGCCACATAGCCAGCCCTGACAGAGCCGAGATCTGGCCTCTGGGGATGGCATTCCTAAGACCCATGCTACCCTGCCTCTCGGGGTGTTAGGGGAAGGAAGCAAATCAGCACACAGAAAACTCTAGAACAACAGCAGGCACATAGTAGGTGCTCTACAAATGGAAACAGGGCTTTGTTTCCGTTTAAAGAGAAAGGGCAGAGAGAACAGGACGAGAAGCTGCAGGCAGCCGGTCCACACAGGCCCCACAGCTGGAAATACAGAGGTTGTTCAGCCAGCTATTATTATCATCATTAACAATGACAGTAAAGCCTTTACAAACTGTAAGTGCTGGAGAGACCCAAGGCTCAAGAGCATTCCGTTAACCATGCACACCAGGAACTGGATGGGCAGTGACAGAATCAGGCGGGAGGCCCGCCCCTGCCCCAGCTGCCCCCCATCCTCACCCGGCTGGCAAAGGGCAGGCCCAGCCTCCGAAGAGCAGGTGCCATGTGGCTGACATTCACCACCAGCTCCAGAGCGCCATGCTTTGGCCAGGCCACCAGGGCTGCCACGTCCACACCAGCTCCGCCGTGGAGGCCCACGCTAGCCTGGGTCTGGGTCTCTAGAGGCAGAGAATGGCACAGGCTGTTATAGATGCAGGTTCTCCCTTCCCAGCTCAGGGACGCTCCAGAGACTGCGGGAGGGGCCCCTGCCTGAGGACCCCAGTGGGACCAACCGTGCGCAGGACTTTTAATTCTCTGAGCTCCTACAATGTCATCTCTCTCAGCCTGGCCATCTCCTTCTCTCACTGGGGACATTGCTGAGATGACACCTCCTCTGAGGAGCCTCCCCTGACTGCCCATCTAAAGTACCCCCCAACCTTTCCTGCTCCTTCCTGGCCAACTCAGCTGCATAAGGGCAGGGCCTTTAGTCTGTTTTGTCCCCTGCTGCCCCCAGCACTTAGCATTGTGCCTGACACACAGCAGGTGTCCAGTACTTGGTGAGGGAATGAACAGGTGAACAAATGCTTCTGTCCAGGGTTTTCAATATAAAACTGAGAGCAAATAAGACCAACCTACAGCTCACCTGGCCCAAGCTGGAGGGTCCCCGCCCTCCACCCCATGCGGGCATCTCCTCCAGTCCCCTGCCTCAGAGCTGGAACACAGCAGCAGGTGATACCCTCCAGAAAAGGAGATTCTGGAACCTCACAGCCAGGAGTTTGTTCTCACTAGCCTTTGCCTTAACCTCCTCAGCACACAGTTACCCAGGGAACAGGTGGGGCCTCGCCTCCATCAGAGGCTAGGTTCCCGGGGCCACAGCTTGGTGCTCTGGGCCATGCACTGCCTGGCCCCATACTGTCACCTGCCGTTGGGGCCTGGCAGGCTGGGTGCTGCTCCCTGAAGCTGAGCCCCAATTTCCTCATCTATAACGTGGGCACAGCCTGCCCACCTCGCAGGAGAAACATGCCTGAGAACACGTGCCCGCAGGGGACCCCATAGACCTCAGGAATCATTTGTTCTTTCCTTCATTACATAAGGTCCAACCACATGCACCTACTGTGTGGTGGGCATGAGGAGAGGGAACACACACTGATGGGGACCCAATCCCCATGCCCAGGTCCCGACTGCCAGGGGCACCAAGACCATTAATGCCAGGCAGCCAAGACCCCTCCTGAGGGGCTGGGATGGTGGGGTGTGGCCAGCAGTGAGGGAACTGAGAGATCCCGCTGGCCTCCAGGGGGCAAGGAGCGGGGGCAGAGAGGAGGTCACCCCACAGATACCACCTACCCAACTTCTGCAAGGAAAACGCCCTGACACCTGATTTCTGACTTCTGGCCTCCCGACTGGGAGAGAACAAACTTCTGATGCTGTAAGCCACCCAGCTTGAGGTTCTTTGTTTTGACAGCCCTAGGAAAGGGCTCCCTTGGGAACCAGGACATAAAGGACAAGGATGTCCTGCCCAGGACCATACCAGGCCTGAGAGGCATCTCAGTGCACCTGGCCAAGGCCTGAGACAGGCGGGCAGGCCCCCTGCATGGGCTCTCTGGCCCAGGAGCAGCGGGCTGGGTGCCTTGCCGTGCATGTGCAGCGTGGTGCTGAGGTGGGCCTTGCCTGGGAACCCTGCATCAGGGCCACACTGTCATTCTCACTCTGGCCAGAGAGCTCCAGGTGTCCGGGAAAGTGAGAGCAGCTTACAGTGTAGTTCAGAGAAGTGGGCCCCGCAGAGACACATCTGAAATGCTCAGAGCCGGAGCCACTGTCATGAAGGTCCACGGAGAGCTAGAATGACACCAGGGAGATGCTGGGTCACCCTCTGCTACGGCTCAGAGGGACATCTGACCTGGTTCTACCATTGCCGTGTCTCCACTTTTAAGAAGGTTTGTTGAATGAATGAATGACCAAATGAACGAATGGCTGACCACAGATTTCCATGACCACTGACGCTCCCCAAGGCTGACCTGCAGGCCCGGCTTGTCCTCCACCCTGAGCGCCTGCAACGTGGGGATGTTGTGCTGGAGCACATAATCCAGGGAGATGTGTCCTGGCCACTGAGTGAAGTTCAGCTCCTCGGACATCTGTCAGGTGGCATGACTGTGGGACTGGAGCCATCACACTGGGCCATCCCCACTGCCCCCAGCAACCCAAGGCCCCACCGGCAGAGCCCCCCGCACCTGTCTGCCATCCACTCCAACCCGTAGGGTGCGTCTGTAGTCAGGCCCATGCCTCTCGGTGGCCATATCCAGCAGGACCCGGGCTGGGAGGGCCGAGGGGCCAGGCTGGGGCCGGCTGTGCATGAGCAACAGGTCCACCTCCTGCTGCATCTACGAGGGAGCAAGAGAAATGAAGTGTCATGCCTGGGAGGTGGCCAGCGTCTCCCATGGAGGGGAAAACAAACCACACCCAGACGTTACATCAAGCCTCTTTCTTGTCCCCTCCCTCCCTGCTCACCATCACATCAGGGGAAAACAGGAGGGGAGATTCCCACCAAATGCAGCGAATACACTTGGATGTCGTGTACAAAATTCACAGGCGATGTGCCCAGGGAGGAACCTCAGAGAAAGGCTTGGCTAGGTACAGGGAAGGGCCCACGGGATGTTTGAGGTGGACACACCTTTCAGGCTGGGAGGCAGTGGGCAGAGAAAACCATCAGTAACCCAAATACAAATTCACAACAGGTTCGGGATGACGCTCAGAATGACCTGCAGTGGAGCTGCTTCTCATGCAGGCAACCACGCATGCATGCCCAGGGGGAGAGGCTGCATGGATTTCTTAAGGGACATCACGGTCAGTCAATCTCCCAGAGGGCTTCGGAAAGACCAGCTAGTGCAAATGAACATCGAATAAGTAAAGCTGAACCTACACTCACCCTGTGGTCCAGCAATTCCACCCCATGCATATGTTTGCTGAAAGTCGTGTGCAAAAGTGTCTGAAGCAGCACCATTCATAACAGGCAAAAGCCAGGTGCTTTTATATCCAAAAGAATTGAAGGGTCTTGAAGGGACATTTGACCTAGAGTAGTCAAATCCATAGGCACAGAAAGTGGAATGGCCATCAGGGGCTGCGAGGTCAGCGAGGGCTGGGGAGGTAGTGCTTAATGGGGACGGAGTTTCAGTTTCGCAAGATGAGAAGGGCTCTGGAGGCGGATGGGGGTGCTGGCTGCTCAACAATGTGAATGTACTTAATACCACTGAAGTGTGTACTTAAAAATGGTTAAGATGGGAAATTTTATGTGTATTTTGCCATAATAAAAAAAAACTAAAAATACAAATATGTATGTGATGGATGAATAAATAGTTGATAATTTTTAAAAATGGATACCACCCAACTAACAACTGATAGAGTGGTAGGTGAGCTCTGATACAGCCAGGCCATGCTGTGGAATACTATACACCTCTGAAAAGGAAACCACCAACACAGTGCGGGGGAATCCCACACACATAAGGTTGAACTAAAGAAGGCAGACACCAAGGGGAGCATGCCGGGTGCTTCTATGTACATGGCATTTAAGAAGTCACATCAGTGACTCTTGGGGGTGGTTAGTAGTGGAGGTGGGCCAAGGGGTCTTGGGGGTCTGCTCACATCCCACGCCTTCAGGTAGATGGTGAGTGCTCGGTTTGTGAAAATTCACCAAGCTGTGCATTTATCATCCCTGTGCTTTTCTACAGCACATACTGTTCATCAACAAAATCTTTAAAAAGCAAACAAACTAGAGGAAAGTGGGGTCCTGAGGCACTAGGGCAGCAGAGGGATATCCCCCTCAGAAAGCCTTCTTCCTCTGCTTATGGACCAGACACCCTCGTCTCCCAGGGTCCTCTTCGGAGCTAAGAGCATGTCAACGTGCTTCTCCCGAGCCTGCGTGGCCCCGGGCCCCCCTCGCAGGCCACCCCACCACTCCCTCACCTTGCTAGCCTTGAGGATTAGCAGCCCCTGCAGCGTGTGGGAGTCCACGGTGGCCAGCTCCTGGGCGTCCACAGCCACGGAGTCCATCACAACGTAGCCCGAGCCTTCGACTTGGCCTGGGACCCCCAGGGCCTGGAGGGGTTGAGAGAGACGTGAAAGCTGGGCTTTCTAACCAGAGCTGAGTTCAAAGTGGGCACCAGGAGTCCTAAGGATGCCCTTGAACAGGCCACAGGATGGTGCGTGAGTGCACGTCTTCCCAGGAGAGGGTTTGTGATTCTGATCAGGCTCTCGAAGCACCCAAGGGTCTCGTGTGAGCTTCTCCCTCCCCCCTCCTGCCTCGCCAAACCATAAGGGATCCAATTTTTGCACCAAGAGAACCAATTCTTGTAAAGCCCACCGGGTCCAGCATTCGGCAACGGCTGGCAGCTTCAGGACCCCCTTTCCTACATCCTCCGCCCCCTACTCCACCTCCCCGGAGCACAGAACCAACCCCCTGCTCTACGTGGACAGATGAGCTGGTTGGGAGACAGGCTGCGAGGCCGGCCTCCCTGGACACCCTTTGGTTCCTCCTGCCAGCCCCTTCCTTAGCAAAGAGCAGGAGAGATGCCCTCGGTTCGCCTGGCACCACTGTCACCCGGGAAGACCAGGCACACGGTGTCTGCCGTCTTAGCCAATCCTGAGAGCAGAGGGGGCATTTGCACCCCATTCTGTGTAGGTGGAATGGAGGCCCAGAGAGGAGTGCGGACTTGCTCAAGGTCACCCAGAGTCCAGGGCTTCCTGGCCTTCAAGGTGGCCTTCCCCAGACCCAGTGCAGCTGCCTGCCATAGCACTGGACCCTGTCACCCTTCCTCCTTCCGGAAGGCTTTCCAGCCTGGCCTCTGTGCCCCCTTCTGTCCTGCGGTCCCCCCTCCCTGGCTATTCCTTCTCACCCCTGCCCCCAGCTCTGCAGCTCAGGGTGCCCCCAGCCATCCACACCCACCCCACAGCCATCTCAGCCAGTCTTGTGGCTTTAAACGTGACCATGTAGAGGCAGAGGCCCCCAGTCCAGACCACAGCTGACCCTCGACACCAAGGGCTGCCCCCAGACATCTCCACCCAGGCACCCACCAGTCCTGTCTAATTTAACACATCCAAGTGGGACTGAGTCACTATACCCCCTCCCCACCCAGCCTCCCCGTCACAGGGAATGGTGACCCCACCCCTCTGCTCATGCAGGACAAGACACTACCCCAGCTTCCCTCACACCCACGAACACAAACCTGCACCCACTCTGTCTCTCCCACCTCACCGGCATTTTATAAAACAGGAGTCAGCAAACCACGGGCCATCCACCCATTGCCTGTTGTACATAAAGCTTTATTGGAACAGTCATGCCTATTTATTTACATATTGTCTATGGTGTTTTGCGCTATAATGGCAGCAGCTTGAGTAGTTACAACTGGCTGCAGGCATGCAACACCAAAGATATTTACTATCGGGACCTTTATAGGAATGGTTTGCTCACCCTGATCCTAGGAATGCCCTTCCTTCCCAGCCCTGCCTCAGGGCCTTTGCACTGGCCATGCCAACAGTTCTGTCCTTAGATGCCCACAGGGCTCCTCCTCCTCTCCTTCATGTCTGTGCTCAGGCGTCATCTTGCCTTTGGGGCCAGCCTTGACCTTATATAAAATTGCAGTATCTTCCCTGTGTTTTCACACCACACCCCCATTCCCACTTTCTTTCTCTCCTTAGCCTCACCACTATGTACAATGCTCCACAATTTGCTGACTGATCCTGGCATTGCCTGCCCCCACCCCCTGTGCAGCCCCTACCCCACAACCAGGGAGGCATTTCTCTGCTTTGTTCATGGCTCTATCTGCAAGGTACAGAGAAGGAGCTCAGTATTTCGTGGGTCCATTCTTCTCTGGTTCACCCATCTCCCTTGTTTTGCCAGTGGTTGAAATGAAGGCCCCTGTCCTGCCCCCTGGAGATCCTGGTGCCCTACCCTCCCGTCCACCCCCAGCACCACCTACCTGCAGGGCCCCGCAGGAGCTCTGGGCCAGCACCCACCACCACAGGCCGCGGTCCATCTGCAGCTCGCCGACACCCTGCAGCTTGCAGGCCCCCGCTCGCAGCTCCAGGCCCAGCCGGTGCCCAGCCTCCTGCCCAAGCTGGATGGTCAGAGAGGTCTCTTGGGGGAGAGCCTGCAGCGCAGGCAACGTGTGCCTCAGCTGCGCTTGGAAAGTGGCCTTGCACTGGCGCACGGCCACTGCCAGGGTCATGGAGGCTGTATGGGCAGCTACTGCCAGGGTCCCTGATGCCACTCCTTCCCCACCAGCCTGCAGGAGCCTCTGGGCTGCAGCCCAGCTGGGAGGCCCAGGCCGTGCTGGGCCGGAGGGCAGGCCCACGCCAGGAGTGACCCCGATTCCCCATCTCCTACTCCGTTACCACTCCAGCCCCTGACCCACCAATCTGTGCCTCCCCTATCCCGCCCCCCATCACAGTAACAACAAATCAGATTATAATACACAACAACCCCCGTGTAAGGAACACACAGTACACACAGCCTCGTGCTAAGTGCTCTACGTGAACACTCTATGTGAACGATCTCCTTTCATCATCTTTGACAGCTGAGATGGGCAGATGACTATTCCCGTATTACAGATGGGAAAACTGAGGCTCAAAAAAGCCAAGCAAATTGCCCAGGGTTATAGGCTAATAAGGAGGCAGAGCTCAGCATTGACCCTCATCTGTCTTCAGTCCCTGCTGTCCCATGGGACAGTCACTATCCACAGGGCTTGTTTCAGTTTAAATGAAAGTGAGGCCAAAATATTCTGTTTCTTGGGCGCACTGGTGAACACATTTTAAGTGCTCAGCAGCTACATGTCCCTCATAGCTACTGTCCTGGACAGCAAAGAACAGAACATTTCCACCATCACAGAAAGTTCTAGCAGGCAGGCCTGCTTTACCCCCAGGCGCTGTCCTTCCTCTGGTGGCTTGGTCGTGCGTTGCCTCGACCGACATGGACAGGGCACCTGCCGGTGCTGGCGCTGTGCTGGGGACGCCATCCCTGCCCTGAGAAGGCTCCATCATGGGGGACGGGTGAGGGGACAGGCGGGGCAGCCGGTCCCGTGCAGACGAGGACTACAGCGTCCCCTCTCCTGAGAGGCGTGCATTCTCCTCCCCCAAACATCACTAGACAATTTGCAGGCCATCTCTCAGCCCAGATAAAACCCAGCCTGCATTTTTTAACAGACTGTGAAACCAAGATGTGACAGTCCCCCCTGTCAGCTGAGGACAGGAAGACAGCTCCCCTCAGTCCTTCCTGACTTAGAATTTTACTAAAAAGACAAATTCCTATAAATTTGGGACCTGTGATCCTCTGCTCCACAGTGCTGCCTGACTCTAGTCTCTCCCAGCCTGTTTCCTCCTCTGACAGAAAGGAACGCAGGATTAGAGGTAAGAGGGGCCAAGCGTTGGCGAGGATGTTCGGGGGAAGAGTAGCTGGGGGCCTTGGGAAGACCGCGGAGGGAGGTGCCGGCCAGGCTCAGGCCTCTCACTGGCAGGGGTTCTGGAAGCCGAGGGGCACGTGCTGTAAACCACCTCACTGGCCCCCTCGCTGGCCTGCCATACATACTGCCAGCAGCCGGCAGCCCGGCTCGGTGGCCAGCGTCCATATGCTTTGGTCCCTGGCGAGCTGCTCCAGCGTGCCCTGCAGCTGGCATGGCCCCACCTGGAGGGTCAGGAAAGCGGGGCCAGGCTGGCCGACAGGCTGATGGTGCTGCTGGCGGTGGGCCCAAATGGGTCAGATGCCCGAGGACTGAGGAATGCAGCCCTTGAGTGAGGGCCAGCTGCAGGTGGGTGTCTCCACGGCCAGGCCGAGCTCACAGGGGCCCCCCCTCAGACCGCCCTCAGAGTGCAGGGCCTGTGGGCGCCTGTGCACTGGAACAGGGGGAAAGGGGGGGGGATTCAGGGGCAGCTTTGAAAGCCGAGGAGACAGAGCTGGACACAGGCCTGGGCAGGAAGAGGGCAGAATAGCCTCATCTGTGCCAGTCCCTCCCTCTGCATAGTGCCCACACCATGGGCTCACTGATGCCCCAGTGACAGCTGTGGGCTGGTGTTCTGGCTCCGCCACTGACCCAGTCTTTCCAAGCATGTGACCTCAGTTGACCTGTCTCTAAAATGGGGTGGATCAGAGCACCCTAAGTCGCTGGAGATGTAAATGAGTTCATACTCATGACTTGCTAGCCCAGAGCCAGGCCCCCAGGCAGCACTGGCTACTGGAAACTGATCGTTAACATCAGTGATCAGTGACCAGAAGGCAGAGATCCTAAGTGACCCGCTCCCCTGGGGCCCATGACATGCCTCACATGGGGGCACAGGCCAGGGTGGGGAGACAGGGTGACAGGGCTAACTCTGCCCGGGCCCCCCACCTCTGGGCCCAGGGCTCCACCTGGGACTAGGGGACAAGCAGACCCTTCCTCTGGGGGGTGCAGATTTAAGGAGGCACAACTGTGCAGCCTCAGCGCTTGGCTGGCATGTGTGCACAGTAAACCTCAGCCCCTACTTTTGACTGTTCTCACCCTTATTCCCATCTCCCCAGGCCTAGGAGTGGGGTAAGGGACATCACAGGACAACAACCAGCCCCAGAAAGGGAAACGTGTCTTGGTAGGGCCCTTTGCGGAACGGGAGAAAGTTCAGTTTCAGTCTTATTTTTGGCTCAAAACTTTATAGCTAATGAGCCCCAAATTCAAGAGACAATGTTAACAAGGATGGAAGCTCTTCAGGCTGAGCACAGAGCTGGGCATACAGTTAGTTGACAGTTAATTTGTGCAGGGGGGAAGCCCTGCCCAGCCCCTGCACTGATGGGTGGGCACGGCCTTACCTCCAGCAGGGGGCAGTGGTTCACCAGGGACAGGGTCCAGTTGGCTTGTGTAGCATTGGCCTCAGTCCTGCCTTCACCGTGAGAGATCAGAATGCACTGGCCCAGGGCCACCTCCCGCTGGGCCCTGCAGGGTTGGTCCCCCCACCAACAGACACTCGGATGTGGTTGCTGGGACAGCCCCTAGAGCCTGAAGCAGAGGCCATGCGTGCTGGAGGCCAGCGCCCAGGTGGGCACAGCAGCCGCAGGCCGTGTAGACGTCGGCCTGGGTGAACGTGTCCCCAGAAGATACCTGAGCCGCCAGGCTGGCCGTGCAGGTGTGGACCAGGAGGGAGCCATTCAAGGACAGCACAGCCGGACTCTGCCTCCAAGAAAGACAGAATGAGGCCAAGCGGGTGCCCCACAACGTGGGCAATCGTGGGAGGCCCTCCCTGCTGGGCTGTGTCCCCTGTTAACAAGCTACATTCCTGCAAAGTGCTTCACTCTGACGAGAGCAACCCAGCCTCCCAGGGAGTCCTGAAGCTTGACCTTTCTGAGCATTTTAGGGTCCCCGGTATCCCCTTGCCGTGGCACATAGGCTGGTCTCTGCATCCTCCCCAGTTTCCATGGTAGAGGCCTGTCGACTTCTCTCACATGGCCTCTCCGGGTGAGTCTTCTCTTGATGCCCCAGATGCGAGTCACTGCTCCTCCAGATGGTGTATTCCAGAGACCTGGGGGTGCCCAGCATGGGGGGCTGCCCACAGCCTCATCCTGTCGCCAGTGCTCACCTGTCTGCCTGGCGTGGGGACAGTACCACCAGTGACAGGGCAAACACGCCCCATGAGCCCCACGGCAGCTGAATGGAGACCGAATTTATGGGGACATGGCGGGCTCAGAGGGGTCTGGGCAGGCAGCCCCCAGTGCCAGGGCCGCACCAGCCCCCTCCCAGAGGCAGACCCCCATCTACCACAGCTGCCCCACTTGTTACAGGGACCTTTGTACCTCCAGAGGCCACCCGGTGATGTCCCCCCAGCAGAGTCCTGACAGCTGGGCAGGCGAGACGCCATGGCTGCAGTTGACCTGTGAAGACCAGCGGGGCAGGGCAGGGCCATGCTGCCAGACACCCCTGGGGAAATGGCCATGGGGGCCTCCTCCCCCTGTGGAAGCTGCTCTGGGAAAACAACCCCCAAAGAGAGGCTTGGGCAGAGACCCTCAGCGTCTCCATTCAATTGGGGACACAATTGGCCTCCGTGTGCCCGGTTCTAACCGGTCCCTCAAGGTCACCACAGGAGGCAGGAGTGCTAACAGTCCCACTTTGCAGATGAGGACCCTAGGGCACCGGCAGTGCAAGCAACCGGCCTGCAGCTGCGCGACCGGGAGGTGAGGTAGCAGCCTGGCTCGGTCGCCCCCCCAGGACCCCCACCCTGCCTCCCTCACCCTCGGGAGGGTCTCGCTGCCCTGCGACGGGCACAGAGGCGGCTTCCTGCTTTTCATTCTGGAGAACAATGCAGACACAGCTGTGCATGTGTGTCCTCGTCTGGTGTCCAAGGTCCCTGGGGGAGCTGCCCAGGGGCGAGCAGATGGGCGAGGGCCTCGGCAGTGTTCATTTTACTAGACAGGCTGGGATGCCCCCAAAGCAGCCTTGGTTACACTTCCGCGGATAGGGGAGGGTTGGCAGGAGGACAGGTGGACAAGTGGACCAGAGAAATAGGGAGAGTAGAGGGCGGGGAGTGGAGGGTGGGAAGGAGAAGGGGAGAAGCAGGGCAGGGAGGGGAGGGGAGAGGAGAATGGATGGACAGGAAGGGACGGGAGGGGCTGAGGTGGTGGGGCCCGGGCTGGGGTTCCGGGTGGGTGCCAAGGCATAGAGGCAGGGGCCGCTCTGGCAGGCTGGGTTCGGGCCAGGCCATCTCAGCAGCGAGGGCGTCAGTCTGACCCACGTGGGGCCTCCGGTCACTCACCTTGAGCCTCGTGGGCAGGGTGCCCAGCAGCCCTGAGAAGTGGTGCAGCCCCAGGGCCAGCCCCTGGTGCTGCCCTGTCCCCTCCTCTCCAGAGCGATGGGAAGCTGCTCACCGTCCATGCTCACCACCAGCCCAGCTACCGGACTGTGTGTTGTGCTCCAGGCAGAAGCACAGCTGTGTCTCTCAGACCTGTTGCCCCCGGACTGGACCTGCCGTCCCCTGGGCACGCCCAGGCTGGCCCTCTCACTCACCTGGAAGTGTCCACGGCTGTCCCAGGAGAAGGGGAGGCCCCAGCGCCTGATGCCAAGCAGGGTGTGGCCAAGGTGGGCGTGGAGCCAGCTGCCTGGGGTGCTGGGGGCCGGGTCCTCCAGGCCAAAGACACGTCCAGCCGTCCCCCCACACTCTGCAGTGCCATGCGCACTGAGAGGTTGGAAGCCACATGCGTGTGTGACAGGAGCATCCCTACCTCCAAGGGGACTCCTGGCGGCAAGAGACCATGGAGGTGGCCACACCCAGTCTATGCCCCACAAGGCCCAGAACAGGGGCCCCTGCTAGCCTGCCAGCTTCCTGGACGGTCCCTGGAGCTCTGAGCTCCCCTGTCCTGGGCTCCCCAGATCCCACTGCCCCAAATACACCAGGTTGAACCACACACAAGTGCAGCATTCCACCATTTCTGATTCCCAGACACGGCGCCTTCACCCAACCCCACCTGGTATCACAATCCCAACACATATCAAGGGACGGGCGCCCAGTCCATCTCGGTGTCTAACTCCTCAAGGACAGGGACTGGCTCCCAGAAAGCATGAAGGGAGCAGGGATCTGATGCAGAGCTCTCCCCTCACTGCTGCACTGCTGAGCCCCTCCAGGACTCACAGAAATGTCCTCAAGAAGCTAAGGCAGGGGGTGTCCAAAGTCTCTCCTAACTGCAGCCCAGGAGCCATGCTGGAGGTCCTGGGAGGCCCGGCTTCTAGGCCGGAGAAGCTGGGCCTGAGGACGGGCAGTCCTGGGGGAAGGGCTGCCAGTAGGGGTGTCTGCCCTCTGGTTTGGAAGAATGTCCATACTGGGTAACAGCTGTTGTCCCTATACTGTATGTCCTGGCTAAGTAACAGCCTACGGAAGGTGGAGGCACTAGGAGAAGCTGGTAGGGGGAGGACATAGAGCTGGAAGGTAGGTTTGGGGACTGGGGCTTTTTTACCTCCCCAGCCCCTTGGCTTCAGGTGCTGGAAGTCTGTGGGAAAGGAAGGCGGTTGGCACTGTGCACCCATACCTGCTGCAGTCAAGGTGCTGATGTTGTGACTCAGGCTGCCTGAGAGCTGGCCATGCCCGGGGCCCCAGGTGCAGACCCCACCCAGAGCCAGGCTGGCCACATTGGCATGGACGCTGGCCTGGCTTCCGAGGCTCCCTGTCTGGTCCCGCAGCTGCCCTCTTAGCTTGAGCTCTCCTGGCAAGGCCTGGCTGCTATTTTGGCTGAGGACGCTGGTCACGCTGCATGCACTGGTGCCATTCCCTGCCTTCTCATGCTTATCCCGCAGGAGGAAGCCCAGCACAGCTGAGTCGGCAGTGATCCTGATGGTACCTGCAGAGGAAAGGAAAGAAGCTATAAAGACCAAAGGGTCATCTCAGGGGACTGGCTGCTTTGGGTGGGAGGGAAAGAATCCTGGGGTTGGGGTGGGAAGTTCTGGGATCCAGGATGTCGTAATTCTAACACATGTTAGAGGGGCATGTCTGGGATACAGACCAATTAAATCAGCTCCCTCCCAGAATGCTCTGAGGATCAAGTGAGCTAATTCACAAGCAAAAGGGCATTGGCCAAAAAGCAGCAAGGCTGGTAAGGCAGGTCTGTGATACCAGAGCTCAATTCTTGCCCAAGAGGCTCACAGACCACAGCTAATGGAATTGCCCCACTTTACAGACAGGAAAACTGAGGCCTGGGAGGATTTGAGAGATCCCATCTGGAATCCTCGAGATAGAAAAGTTGCTCAGAGGTCTCTTCCATCCAGAATGAAGATCGCACACCGTGAGGCCAGTCCCATGCCTCTACATAACTCATGCCTCAGGGAAATTCTTGTTCTTGTCAGAACCATTTAGGTCTCCTGACCGTACTGACTTCTCTTGGGGCCTTAACATGGTCCAAGTGCCCTTATCCCTCCCTCCTGTCATTCACTGTTTGACTTAGGAGTCACCACCTCCAGGAAGCCCTTCTTGGCCCCTCTGCATCTCCCCAGGCTGAGTTAGACACCCTGTTCTGTGCTTCTAGACAGAGCTCATGTTAAACTCTATCACAGAGTAGAGAGCACTTTCCACAGAGACACAACTTCCTTGCAGAATCATCTTTTTATGGGGCTCTCTGTCACCATGTCCTACAAGATGTTCGCCAGTTTCCTCATCTGGAAAACATGGGTAGCCAGAGTAAAAGTTCATTAGATTATTGTGAAGATAACATGAAATGATGTCAATGGAAGAGAATAGAGCCCAGGAATAGACCCACAACACACAGGGTCAATTGATTTTCAACAAAGGTACAAAGGTAATTCAGTGGAAAATAATGTGTTGAAATAACTGGAATATAAATATGTTAAAATGATTGGAAATCCACATATAAAAAACTACTTTGGCCTTTGCCCAATCATATACACAGATCAATTCAAAATTAACCACAGACCTAAATCTAAAACATAAAACCATAAAACTTTCAGGAAAAAAAAGAAGAGAAAAATTTTGTGGCCTCAGGTTAGGTGAAGATTTCTTATACCACACCAAAAACATAATCCATAAAAGAAAAAAGTGATAAATTAGACTATATCAAAATTAAAAACCTCTGCTCTTCAAAAGACACAATTTTAAAAAATGAACAAACAGACCATAGATTGGGAGATGATATTTTCAAAGCACATATCTAATAAAGGCCTTCTATAAATAATCTTCAAACTCAATAATAAAAAAACTAATAACTCAGTTTTTGAGATGGGCAAAAGGTTTGAAGAGACCCTTCACGAAAGATTTCCAAGTGGCAAATAAACCTATGACAAGATGTTCAGCAAAATTAGTCATTAGGAAAACCAATGAGATGTAACTACAAATCAATTAGAATGACAAAAATCAAACAAAAAAACCCCACACTGAATCATAGACATAAATCCAATCGTACCAGTAATTACATTAAATACCAATCAACTAAATTCTATAATAAAAAGACAGAGATTCTACAGGAAGATATGTCAAAGAAATAATCAATCCTCCCATGTTTTCTTCCATCTGCTACCTCTATAGCTTTTCTTCTTCCTTCCTAATTACAACCCTTAAATACAATTCGTGCCTCATATTGAATTTACCGAGTATCATAATTCCTCCAGGTGGTAAAGATACCTCGAGACAAGTGCTGGGCATAGAAGCCACAGGGCATAAATCTGCAAAGAAGTAAAAAGCTAACCTTTGCAAACAATATGGCTTCTCTCTCACTTACCAACTTTACATTTCCCTGTATGGCCCCGGAAGATGACTGG